CAAAATGAATTGCTTGGCATTAAGAATCTTCTAGAGAAAGGCCAGTTCCCCAAATCCCAGTTTGAAGACCTCACCCAACTCTCTCGTCCTCCGGATGCCACCATCACTGAGCGAGACCGGGAAGCAAACTCTCCAGAGGGGTCGCCGACAGCTCTCAACGCAGCCCAGATTCTGGAGCAAGCCCGCGATGAGCCTGCACAGGCCTCTGAGCCAGTGCGCGTTACTGCATTGGACGCTCCGTCCCGCGAGATGCCGTCACAGTCGTCACACCTTGATCCTGCACAGGGCACCGCTGGTGCCGATTCGTACGGCCCTGTGAGGCGTGTCACTGGTAAAACCAGGCCTGATCCGACAGTAGGGGTTCCCTTGGTTAGGCTTCCTGACACGCAACCTGACGATTTCCTAGAAATGATGTCAGAAGTAGTTCCCCGTATGATTGCGCAGCAACTCGCGTCTGGTGGCACTCAGAATGCGTCACGCGCCGAACCGAGCACAGCGTCTTCTAGTCATCAAGCTAACGCCCCTAACTCCCTCAGCCCTAGAGGAGACAGCCAGAAGCGTGAAGCTAGCCAAGACGCAGCTGAGCCTCGGGCCTCGGGTCGTAGGCGCACTGAGTCCGTAGACGAACTCTTCTGTGAGGAAGTGCTTTCTGTGGAGCCCTCACACTGCAGTCACGTTGAGCAGCTCATGGCTGCCTTCCTTCAAAAAAGGGCTCAGAAAGAGTTGCCTGTCTCAGGGAATCCGCCGGAGCTTCAAGGAAGAATCGATGAGGCAAAAGGGCTTGAATGGGAAACTATCTCTGGAAAGCAGGCGGTTAGGGTTTGGACAGGCAAACAGGCTGAAGACATCAAGGCCAGACATTCTGATCGTTTCATCGGCAGTCGGTTTGTTGTTACCAACAAGTGCGATGAGGATGGAGAGCGTATCAAGGCCCGATGGTGTCTTCAGGGACACAATGACCCTGATTTTCATGCAAAGATTTTGTCAGGCGAGTGTCACAGCCCTACCTTGAGTCAACTTGCCCGTGCCATGCTCCTACAACTGCTGGTGTCACGCAGGTGGGTTATGAACTTAGGAGACATCAAGGGCGCGTTTCTCGAGGCAGGCCCTATTCCTGAAAAGTATCGCCCACTCTACGCACACCAACCTCCTGGCGGTATCCCTGGCCTCCCACCTAATGCAGTAATAGAAATACTGGGCAACCTATATGGAGCTAACAACGCGCCGTCACAGTGGTACCGCGAGTTCGATTCCCAGGCGCGTGCAGCCGGTTTCGTGCGCAGCATGTTTGACCCATGTTTGTACTATTACCGGCATGCGGGCTCCGTCACAGGCGTCCTAGGGGCACACGTAGATGACACCATTACTGGCGGGGAGGGGGATGCATACAATCGTGCCATTGATGCCCTCAGGAAACGGTTCCCATACCGCAAGTGGCGCACTGGAACAGGCGAGTTTTGCGGCACCAGCTACGCACAGGACCCAACAACTTTCGAGATCACGTACCAGCAAGAATCGTATGCCCAGCATCTTCGTCCCATCAAACTGTCTAAAGAACGTCAACGTTACAAAGACAGTCCGGCCACTGCAGAAGAAGTGCGCGCACTCCGAGCAGTCAATGGCGCTGCGAACTGGTTGGCGTCACAAACACGTCCAGATTTGTGTGTGCAAACGTCTTTCTCGCAACAGGCGTTTCCTCAACCCACTGTGAAGGACTTGATGTTTGCAAATCAGCTGGTTCATCGGGCAAGGCAGCATGCCGATGTCAGCGTGACTGTGCGACATATCCCGTGGAGTGAGCTATGCATTGTTTTCCACTCTGACGCAGGTTTTGCGAATGCCAAACAGAGTAGGACGCAAGCAGGCTACATCTTGGCATTTACTGATAAGAACCTAGATTCCGATAGGCAGGCCCCTTGGTCACCAGTAGCGTGGAAATCAATGAAGTTGCCTCGCGTCGTAGCATCGACGCTTGCAGGGGAAACGCAGGTTTTCTCACTGGCCAGCGGTCTGGCTGAGTATGTCGCACTCATGATTGCTGAAATCAACGATGGGTGCTTTGACCTGAGAAAGTGTGAGTCACACCTGCGCTTCACTGCAATCACCGGCATCACAGATTGCAAATCCCTCTTTGATGCTCTTCACTCTCCGAGCTCGCCATCCAAGGTCGAAGACAAGAGGGTAGCCATTGATCTTTCAATTATTCGGCAGTGCATGGAAAGAACAGGCCTAGATGTGAGGTGGTGCCCTACCGAGCTCATGTTAGCAGATGCCCTCACGAAGGACCTTGCCGATCCTTCTGACCTGCTGAGGACTATTCTGCTCCATGGTAAGTATCAGCTGTCGGAAGAAGCCTCCGTTCTAGCGCTAAAGAAAGAGCAGAGGGATCGCCGTGCAGCTCGGAGAAAACCGGCATCGCACACCGAAGATTCGCAAACGCCCGTATGCAAGATCCATGTTGGCTATAATGCCCAGGAATGGTTAACCCCTGACCCTACCATAGGATTACCTCTTAGGCGGGTTTCCATAGATAAAGCTTCGGGGCGGGTTTTGGAGAATCGCGATCTCACCAGACATGAGTCTGAAGCGCTTGAGAAACCGTGTTCCGTCGTCTCGTGCTTGCAGACAGAGATCTGGTATCAGCCACACACCTGCCGTCATCGGCTGTAGCGAAAGCCGCTGGTGCAAGCAGACTGGACTCAGCCCAGTCTTTAATTAAATAGCAGTGCCGGTAATCTAAGGTTACGACGGCGCTTAGGCCGTAGAAGGGTGGCAATCTTTCCTTTCTTGAGCCTCTGTTAGTGTCAGGATACCTGTTTGTGCAACCTTTTTGGTTTTTGTCGAAGTCCATCAGCAGCTGTGAGCACAGAACTCCCCTTTTCATTCCAAATCACCGATAGTGTGTTGGATCGAAGTCCAGTGTTTTATCCGAGACCTTTGTATCGTGAACATGAGCGGCCACAATTCCAAGACTGCACAACCGTCAGCTACGGATGAGCAGCTTCGAGTCTTCATGGAGAGGATGACCGCTGAGGGCCGCTCGGCAGAAGTGATGGCAGTGATCCAGCAGAGCTTCACTGCTGCCCCGGAGGTCCCCGATCAGCAGGCCATGTCTGACGCCTCTAAGAGGCGTCGTGAAGACACGACATCTTGGGATGATGCCGTTGTGATCCCGCAGGCGGCAGGCCCTACAAGCTCATGCTCTCAGCAGACAACTCCCAACGTGATTCCGTGCAAAGCCCCTCCAGTACGAGCTCCAATGACGCAGGGCCCCGTGATGCCGCAGGGCTATGTGGTGCAGAGAGCCCCTGCCATCGTCAATGAGCACCTCGTCGGGTTCCCTCCGGGCATCCGCTCAATCGACGAGTGGAGTTGCACCATTTGCACTCTCCCTAAGGTCACTTCCCGTAAGATGACATACCGTGAGCTTGCCAACGAAGGGCACGTCTGCCAGGACATGCGCAACTATCTTACCCGCTACATCATGAAGAGCAACAGCACCTCCGCAAAGGTTAACGATTTGAAGCGCTACCTCTACGCAATCAACTATCTGCTAGAGGTCCCAGGGAATTACGCTCCAGCTCCGATGACAGTCCGCACCATCCGCGAGTGAATGCCTGAAGGACGGCCATGCTGTACAGATCTGGGAGCCGCGGAGTGGCTCGGATGTCGTACAGCTGCGATGCCAAACTCGGCGTCGGGTACGCATATATACATATAGAGATTTTAAGGAGTGTGAAATCACTCCTGTCTCTCAGGCATTCAAGACCGCTCGCCGCAGCGGAACTTTTCGCCCAAGCAGGTTCAGCAAAAGGACCGCATTGCTGTCCCAGGCGGGACTGGGTGTTTTAATAGGGCTCAGGGTTTTGAGGGTTCGTGAAAGGGTTCCTTCAGAGGCTCGGACTCTCCGAGCACTCCGTTCTGTTCACTGAGGCTCTCGTACTTTGCAATGCTACTCTTAAGCTTGCCGAAAGATGAGTTTGCCAGAAGTTCAGAAACCTTTCAACCAGGAAGGAAGCGATCCCAGAAGACACCCTCAGTGCCCTCAAACCTTAAAGCTTTAAGCAGTTTAGGGGTTAGGGTCCGCCTGTAAGAGAAGTTAAACCCGAAACTTGGTGTCATGGCACAAAAGGTGCCTGAAAGCCTTCTTGACCTTTTTCGGCTTAGGGTTTGGCACTCGGGGCTTTGGGGTTTGGGCTTTGGGAATTAGGGGTTCGGGGGTTCTGCTGGCTAGAGTTTGGCGACTTTGGGTTAGGATTAGGGTCTAGGTGACAAGCCCCCCCCCCCCCTGGAATACGTTCGTAGGCACCAAGCAGGGTACGCAGCACCAGTCTACTGGATGCTCTACAGTAGAAGCTTAAAAGTTGGAAACCCAGTAGCCTCAACTCCTTAAGAGTCATGTATGGGGAATCCCAGCGCTATTTGGCCTTAATCGGGTTTCTAAATTTATGGGGTTACTGTATGCTGTGCTGGTATGACGCTTTCTCATGCCACCCTTTTTCAAAACATCGCAGTGAAACTGATCCTTGCCGGACCAATTCCAGCCTTGCCTGGTTTCAGGGATCTGCGGCCAAAGGGCTTTACTTACAGGTTCAGTGAGACATACATTCATCGAGAAGGCGAAGCAACAGCAACTGACGAGTGATAGCTGGCTAGCCCTAAAGGCTATAAACCCTGAACCCTCTAAACCCACAACCCTATAAACCCAAGCCCATGGTCGCATGTTCAAGGCCTCTGGTCCAAAGATGTCAGATTTTGCTAGGGCTGCTAGGGCCACCCGTCCGGATTCGGGGATCAACCCCGGAGAAAGCCGGCTTCGGACTTCCATGGGTTTAATTTAAGTTTTACGATTTGGTTTAGAGTTTAGGGTCTTACCGCTCAGAATATTAATTATGGGGGTTCTCAATAGATAGCATAAGATTTGGGAGCATGGCCTATTGGAACTTCAAGCATGTTGGGGCTGTGAGGGGATATTATCCCCGATTATGCCGACCTCAACTTTAGATCGGTGCAAAAGGCTGTCCCACGTAGCTCACGAATCTGGACTTTGCCAACTCCTGGCCTACCCAGCTCGGGGCCACGGGCACACCGGCGCGTGCTAGCGAGGGCTCATTCCGAGCAGCAGAATTCTGATCCGGACCGTCCCGCATGAGATCCCGCATCAAGGCCTCAAGTTCTGAACAAAATGCAATGAAAATTCAAGATGGTTTAAGGAATAGAGAGTAGGAGTTGGACATTTCAGGAAACCGGAAAGCTTTAAAAACAGTGGAAGGTTTGCCATCGGACAAGCTACCTGTCCGATAAGGAACTCGTTCTGCTCTACCAGCTCTGTATCCAGGCCCGACACTGGCGAAGGAGCCACACCAGAGCCAACGACCGGCGAGTTCTGCGGCAAGGCTTGGGCGTGGCTGTCCCTGGCTGTGTCCAGTTGTATAGCAATCAGCGGACTGGAAGTGATCTGGTCCGATGCCAGAGGCTGGTCCATCGTCGCACTGTGCCACAGGACAGGGCTCGGGTTCATCTCCTCTTTCTTCAGGTCGTCGTGGCAAATCTCGCTGGTGTCAGGTAGTCTTCGGAGCTCAGACTGACCGTGGGCAAACCTGCAGGCAGCACCCTTTGCGCAGTAACCCTTGCGTTTGAACTTGGTACAAAGCGCCGTCGCTGCTAAGTTCGGCTGTTCACGCAATTCAGACCAGGAATGTGCATATGTGCACAAGTCACCGAGATGGCATCTTCCTTTCTTCTGCCAGTACTGGCAAATCTTCGTGAATTTCAGGGCCGCCCGCGTCTCCCCTATTTGGTCGCGTGGCATGGGCACACTTGAAAGCTCTGATCGTCGACCCAATCTACGGGCGGCGATCAAAAACAGAGCCAAGTGGGCTGCAAAGGCAAAGGCGAATGATGAACATCAAGATAACGGCGGCAGCACATGTGTGATTGCGAGTAGCAGTAGCCCTAGCAGCGGTAGCAGCAGCAGCAGCAGCTGCTACTGCCAAGTCAGCTCCCAATGTCCGGAAGAATAGATCCTAGAGACACAGCACGCAAGTAGACCGATATTGGGCACTAGCAATTGGCAACGATATGCTGCTTGTCATCTTATATTATATACACACACATACGTACTGAGACTCGAGCTCATACTCATCATCACACTACCAGATGTGGTATTCATCACCATGCTGGCAGGTTTGGTGGCGATGCTGGTACCAAGAGTCCAACATTGATGCTCAACATAAAACAACCAGCTTATGCAATCCACGAGTCATAGCTGAGAACGATAACAGTCATGTCACAGTCTCGATTCACTAACTTTAGAAGAGAATAATAACAGTAGTCACAAGAATAAGAAAATTCAACACTAGTATTAATATTAACAAAAACAATATAAGTAACAATAAGAATAGTCATAATAAGATGAATTCTGTTCTGAATACTATTCAAATCAGATATCAGGAACTACATAGCCACGAGCATCGCTAGATATCTGCAGCATCAAGTTCCAGATAGGTGCAGGTCTCTGGTTCATGTGGGCTTAAGGGGAAACCGCCCTCAACCCTCAAAAGGCCCTGGTTTGGGGGCGTCGTGTGTGCCAATTATAATGGGGGACCCTGAAGACGAGTTTTGTAGACTAAGTCTTCAGGCTTCTGCATCACAAGCCCTTATAGACCCTTCTGAAATATGGGAAACTCCGAGAGAACCCTACAAATGAAACTTTATTGACAACCCGCTTAGAACTCGATGAAAGCTCCGAAAGCCTTGATGAGGGCGAGGTGTCTTGCTCGGAGCAGCTTTGCTTCCTTGGGTTCCCAAAGGTTTGGGTAAGGTCTTTCAGGGTTCGTTCGCTTGGGGCGTGGGGTTTGCCCATGGTGCTTGTCAAGGCTTCAACGGTTCTTTGTAGTATCCTTAAGGGAGGGGGGTCCAAGGGGGGTATATAGCCTAGTGATGCCTAATTCTCCCTAGTACTCCCTAAGGTTCCCTTACAGTCCCCTCAGGATTCCTTATACCCTCCCCCCTTGAACCACCCTCCCTTAAGGATCCTATAAGTTCTTTGCGGAGTTTAGATTGACAGCTTCGGGTTTTTGAGGCTTGGGGCTGAATCTTGGGTTCTAGAAGATTCGGCTTTGGGGCTTTAGGGAGTCGGCTCGAGGGGCCTATAAGGAGCTTAGAGTGTACTTGGCGGTTCATGGGTAGATATAAGTTGGCTGGCTTTTAAGCCCCCCAATATGGGCTATAAGTATAGCTAGCCTACTCTTAACCCCACTTATATCTACCCATGAACCCCCAGGTAGGGTTCCGTAACAGAGCTGATGCTAATGCATCGTGCCCGATGGTGCCTGCTTCTCTTCCCAAATGCACCCATGACTCAACCCACAAGCCCCTGAAGACCGAAACTGTGAAACAGAAATGCGAAACCACTTGTGACTCACAAAGCATACAAACCCAACATCTCTGCAACCTTGGAAAGGCGCGGAACCTCACAAGTCTTTATCAGCCCATGTGGAAGACGAATGAAACAAACAAAGGCCTATACCCTGAACATAAAACAGCTGAAACCCTAGAAGCCCTAGACCCCGAACCCCAAACCCCTGAACCGCGAACATCAAACCTTAAACCAAACATCAAGCCCTAACTAAACTTTCCCAAAACCCTAAACCACTAGAACCCAACCGAGCCGATCGCCACCAGGGGCAGAAAGTCTTTTTCGGACTTCCCCCTGGCTCGATCGAAGCTTCCGAGGTTTCACTTAGGGGTTCATGGGTGGTTTTTAAACGTATAGATGGGGGTATGAGTCCCCTAATACGGGTTACATTATGAATATAGCTACCCTGCCATGAGAAGACACTGCCGGAGGCAGCCTCCAAGCAAGTCCGATGTAGGATTTCGGTTTCACTCTACGAAAGCTCACGGTTACAAGGTTTAAGGATTTGAGGCTCAATTGCGACCAAAAAACGAAAGCACTCTACAACCGCACAACCCCCCGAACCTAAACCCTGAACCCCCAAGCCTAAAGCCGTCAAAACAAAACCCGTGACCCTGAGCCAGACCAGAGCTCCACAATCCACCCTCCACTAAAGTCACTAGAATCTACGAGCCCTTCAAAACGTGTTTAGGGCTAGGGTTTAGGGTTTTGGGTTTAGGGAAAGATATGATCAAGAAGCTACAAAAAATGAAAACATATAGGAGACTGTAAAACCATCCTGAAACCCTGAATTCGCGATTCGCGGACATCTACCACCCACCCTCCAGCAGCCTGCCTTTGCTGGAATTCCCGGAAACCCTTCTCAGTTCTGTGCGGTGGCACCTTCGTCATAGGGACCCTTAGGGGTGTAGGGGGAGGGGGGGTAGGGGGCCTTAATGCCCATAATAAGGACTAATAAGGCCTATTTAAGGAAATACAGTCCCCTACACCCTCCCCCCTACACCCCTAAGGGTCCCTATGACTTCGGGCTAATTAGCTCAGGTTTTGGGCTCAAGGTGGGGAGGCTCAGGGTGTACTATAGGGGCTTTCATAATTGGCATAGGGGGTTCCTTTAAAGGGGACTATAAGGGCTACTAGGGCTTTGGGGGTATATTACACCCATAAGTATCATAAGGAACCACCAAAATAGTACAGGTTATTATCAAGGCACCTTTATTATAAGTAGGGCTTACGCGGTTGAGTTGGGGTGTTGGGCGTACGAGTCAAGGCGGAAGGGTTAGAATTTACTGTCGGCTTGGGGTGTTTAGGGTTTAGGGTTTTAGGGTTTAGGGTTTAGGGTTTAGGGTTTTGGGTTTAGGGGTTTAGGGTTTAGGGCTTAGGGTTTAGGCTTGGGGTGTTTAGGGCTGTGGCGCTCTAGCGCGTGCGGGCTCCAAGGCCTGGGGATTCCGAGTTTTGGGGGGCTTCGGGGTGTTCAGGCCTCTAAAGTGTCGGCGGGCTTAAAGGGACCCTTAAAAGGATTACTACTATTTGCTTAAGAACCCCCCAAAAAAATAATAATCCCTATATTATCCCTATAAGGAACATATATATTTTTGGGTTCTTAAGCAAATAGTAGGTTACTATACTTGAAGGTTCATGGGTAGTTATAAGTGGGGGTGTAAAAAAATACAACTGGATCGTCAACCCATGCTTTGAGCTGCAACAGGGCCCTTTCTGGAGCCGTAAACCCGAAGGTACACGCCCGAGCATCAAAGCCATCAAAGGCGGCTTGCAGAGTTGGAAAATCGGGTGTTGGGTGGCGTCATATACTATAGTTTAGGTACTGCCCCCATACAGTAAGAGTCGATCATCGGGCCACCATTAAGGTCCTACTATATATTCATTATGAATATTACTCAACTATTACTGAGTGGGGGGCTGTACCCAAACTATAGCCTCCATTGCAATTGTTTTATTTGGCTTAACCATGTTTATGCTACGGGTCCTACACGGTAACCCACACAAGAAACCACAATGGAGACTGTAGGTACACCACAAAGACAACAAAGAACCTCAAGGTATCGTACGAGTCACTATCTAGGCCCTCTAGAATCTAGGCCTCTATATTGGCATGATTTTCCCGCGAGGTTGAAGCTCTATACAGCTCAGATCAGATGTACGAAGTCGAAAATGCATTTCACCCGTCTAGAAAAACAGCTGCTGCTAGTGCGCGCGTGTGTGCGTGTGTGTGTGTCATCATCGTAAGCAATGCAGGAGCAGGACGAACACCAAAACCTCGATTCTTCAACAGACTTTGTAAATGTTGGACCAAGGGACCGAGGACTTCTACCTACAAACCCAAATCCAACGCATTCGGCCGCTAGGTCACCCCACACCCTACCCTGATTCCTAAAACCGACAACCCTGAAGCCTATGCCATAAACCCAACCCCTAAACGCGAAACCCTCTCGTTATGCCCCTGCGAGTACGCTGGGCTCAGCACGCCCAGCTATGACCTGGGGGGGCAGTCTTGGGATAAACTAGTCCATTATTATTGCTGTGGTATGCAAGAAGAAGGAACCTTAAGGAATAGTATCGGGAATTATTCAAGTTTCTACAGCACAGCATGGCATCTTGTGCTGTACGTAAGGATAGCACACTATTGGGTTGGAAAAGTTCAGGGCCCGGGTTTGGGGTTTCAAGTTTGGGAGTAAAAAGGGGTTCCAGTTCCGAGCTTGAGTGCGGAAATGCAGTTGTTTCGGCTCATTGGCTGCTCACCAACGAGGACGCAACAGGATTCAGGGTTTAGGGCTTGGGGTTAGGGGATAGGTTTAGGCAAAGTTTAGGCTTAGGGCTTAGGGTTCAATGAGCGCCTTAATGATTTGAAGAGGCTTTTGGGGTACCTTATAATGCAACTACAGGGACTGTAAGGGGAGACTAACATTTTGATGGTTTTTTTGGGAAACTTATCATGCAATTATCTCGGGACTACAAGGGGATACTAATAATTTGTGTAGTTTTTTTGGGTGTACCTTGTCATGCACATCTTATAGGGACCGTAAGGGCAGACTACTACTCGTTCTCCAGACATTATACTGTGGTTGAGGAGTGCTCAGGTTCGGACCTCTCCCCAAATGTGAAAGTGTCAAACTCTAAAAAACAAACATGCAGGCCCCGACCCTGAGACTTTAGACCCCTGAAGCCAACCCTACTTGGAGGTTCGTGGGTAGCTATAAGTGGCGTAAAAAGTAGGGCAAGTATAGTCATAACCCATATAATAGGGGGCTTGTAGCCCCACTTATAGCTACCCATGAACCTCCAAATAACACCCCTAACATCTCTAAACCCCGAAAGGCCCAGGGCTTCAAAGGTTTGCCTGGCAGTGGCAGGCGGAGCTTGGGGGTTTAGCGAAGTCTGGGGTTAAAGGCCTAAGGCCCAAGGTCCGCCAAAAGAGCTAGAGCTTGCGTACGGCCCCCATACAGTAACAGTCTATAATAGGGCTACGATTAAGGTCCTTATATCTCTATAGTATGAATATTATCCAACTGCTACTGAGTGGGGGCCGTACTCAAGCTATAGCAGTCACAATGAAATAATTGCAATGATGACAACAAGCATAAGACTACAATGCGAGTATTCGCGAATGGCGCGATCGTGTCCCACCTCTGGGTCTCCCAGATCGCAACCCAATAGGTAGCATCCATTTATTCTGATAGGCCCCTACTTTAAGAAACCCCAAATCGGGAACATTCCATGCCAGCTGAATCAACTGCACTCCTTGATGGACACCTGCACACGTTTCTGTCGCGATGTTTACATCCCACATCGTCCACACTGCGACCCCTCAATGAAGCCTGAACTCCACCTAAAAGCCTAAAAAAGCAAACCCAAACCCCAAAGCCTAAAATCTATAGGTTTTGGGGCTCCTGTAGAGCCTACACCCTAAAACCCTAAACCGGTTCCCGAGGGCCAGACGGCAGGCGCACATTCCCGCATGGTGGAAGGTCTGGCAGGTGCAGCCAGAGACCTCACAGCTACGTGGAGGGTTTAGGGTTTAGGGTTTTTTTATTTTTAGGGTTTAGGGTTTAGGGTTTAGGTTTAGGGGTTTAGGGGTTTAGGATTTACAGCTTAGTGTTCTGAGGGTCTGGGCTTGGGCTTTGCTGGTTTGGTTAAGGCTTTGGGTTTGAAGCTACATTCGATGCTGTTCTTTGACGTGGATGTAGGTAGGAGGTAGGTAGGTAGGCAGGTATTATAGGTAGGGGCAAAACAAAAATAGGCAGGTAGGTAGGTCGGCGGGCGGATGGGTAGCACCGCGGACACCTGCGCTAAACCTGGTGGCGGAATCCTATCCCCCCACCCCGTAACCCCCAAAGAAAACAGACGAGTAACGGCTAAGTTTAACCTCGAACCGGCCGGATCCAAACTCAAAGCTCCTAGCATCTTGAGCTGCAGCATCTGCTCCCCGGAAGGGTTTAGGGTTTAGGGTTCAGGGTTTAGGGTTTAGGGTTTAGGGTTTAGAGGGTGCTTAAAGGAACACAAGGAATGAGTTAGTCTCTTTCTACAACGACCCACTGCAAGTACTTCTAACCTGGCGTGCCAAGTCGGGCCATGTCCCCTGATCCACCAAGTACTGTAGGGGCCTTAATAACAAAGAACGCCCAAAATAGTACATTAGGGGCCCTTAATAATAGGGTTTTGGGGTATGGTATACTATCATCATAATAATAAGGAGCCCCCAAAATAGTACATTGGTAGCTATTTAAGCGCCTACAGTACTCCACCCCGCCTTGCAGCCATGAAAAGGCCGTTCATCGTGGGCTGTGGGGCCGTGCCCACAGGTGCAAAGGGCACCTGCGGGGGCTCTGAAGGTCTTGGGTGCCTCAGGTCTAGAGCTTCTAATTCTGTTCTTGGGCGCCCTGCCTGTGGCTTTTCAAAAGGATGCGGGGTGGAGCAAGAAACACCCCAAACATACCTCGAAACCCTAAACCCCTGAACCCCTAAACCCCGAACCCCTGAGCCTTAAACCCCAAAAGCCCTAGATCCCCAATTTCGCTTCGGGTTTAGGGGCTCCTTGTCTGCCCCATAGAGCTCTCAAGGCCCACCTACTTGGAGGCAGTGGAACTTCGACAGTGAGGTTATGGGCGCTACCCGAAGCCCCTAAACCTAAACCCCTAAACCCCAAGCTCTAAACCGCTAAACCCCAAAACCCGAAACCCTTGAGAGATTAGGGTTTACGGTTACAGTGAACGTCCTGTGTAAGAACCCACTGTTGAAGAACCTGAGACCCTACCCTCGGCGGGAATCACAAAATTCCCTAGCGTTCTGGCCCAGGTTCTTATTTCATGTTGGGTGGAAGTGGTTTCGTCGTGGCTTGGCTTGTTGTGAAAACACCGGGAATTAGAACCTTAGGGGGATTCGTTCTCCTTTTTCGCGGTTCCTGGTAAATGCATGTATGAGGATGAGCCGCTCTCTGTGGCCAATGCTTGCATAGCTCAGTGTGTTTCGCGCTCATCTCACAACCAGACATGCATTGGTTCAATCCCGGCTTGGGGCAAAACCGAAGTAATGTCAGACACTAACTCCAAAATGGAAAATTGCCAGCGTTTGCAGGGCCGGGCAGGACGGGGGTGGGGGTGGGGTTGCGGGCAGGGGTGGGCAACGGCAAAAACGAATTAGTGTCAGACACTAACTCGCTTTTGCGGGGGGGAGGGTAGGTATGGGTGGACACCGTGGCCATTTTGGCTCAAGGTACACGCTGCAGCTAGATAAGAACATAAGAACGTAGTTAAGAACAACAGCCTACCTCAATTTTCTCGGCCGGCAAAATCAAAGGAAATGGTGCCTAGGAACTAAGAACCTTAGGGTAGGCTACACTCGCGGAACGGGGTTCTTATACAGGGATTTCTGTAGCGCACCGGGGTTTAGGATAGTTCCGCTCTTTGGCTCCTATGGCACGATGTGGAGCGCATCCAAAAAACACAAAAAAACCAAAGCACTGCTCTCAAGTGGTCCCTTATTTGGACCACTTGGGAGTCCCGTCCTTGCTAGAGTTCTATGAAAGTCTTTTAACCATAGCAAAAGATATAATCGTTCAACACTAAGATTACTAGTAATGCCAAGAAAAATATTCTAGGAGAGTTTCAGAAGATTCGGACGGGTGGTTGGCCAGGACCCTATATTTTGGGTACGGCCCCCACTGAGTAATAGTTGGTCAATATTCATCATATAGATATAGTAGGACCTTAATAATAGCCCGGCAGCCCTATTATAGACTCTACCCATAGGCCCCAAAGTAGTTCCTTTTCGGGATTACCTTATAGGATTCTATATACGAACCCCAAAAAGGAACGACTTTGGGGCCTCAGGGTAACTGTATGGGGGCCGTACCTAACCTGTATTCATTCGGGTTTCGGGTTGAGCGTTTGGGAAGTTCAGATCCTGAACCCTGGGCCGAATAGCTTCAGGACTTTGACGTCGTTTTGTGTGTCAGAACCATAAATATACATAATACTTATGATACTAATAATAACAATAACAATAACAATAATAATGATAACAAAGACAATAATAGTAATAATAAAACAAATAACAACAATAATGATCAATAGCAATAAATAAGAAAATACATAAACACTGATGAAAATGCTAGTAATAATCACAACAATCATACTAATAATAACAAAGTAACAAAGTAATGCATACTGCCTGGGATGTCGGATCGTAGGGCAGAAAATCACCGGCTGACGATACCAGGAACCGGGGTCGGGGTTCAACATGGCCTTGGACAGGGGCAGCTCTGGGGCAAGAGCGCGAGGAACCCTGGACGCCTGGAAGCGTGCATGCACGTGCTTTTCTTGTTGAAAACGCCGGTCCGCTGAAAGATGCTGGGCGACAGCATCAATTCATCGCATCCCTGGCTATGGCTGGAGCGGCCGGTAGGCGCGAGAGAAGATTGGGTGCCGAGTGATCACCCTCAACCGTACCCAAACTCAACAGCTCTGAACTGTAAACCCCAAACCCTCAAACTACCCCGGCTGCTGAGTTCAGAAACTCTCAAAGCGTAGAAGACTTGAGCCCTACACCGGGTTTGTGGCTCAGGGCAGTTTTGAGTATGGGATAAAATATAGGGCAGACAGGACCCTGAAGTAAAAAGAATCTTTGGAAGCAGCAACGTACTCCCATCAAGTCTCACTTCTCCGTCTTCGTCGCCTTGTCGGCTCTCACCCTAAACCCTAAACCTTAAACCCTTAACCCCCTGAACCCTAAGCCCTAAACCTTTCAGGGTGGAGGGCTCCAGGTTCAGATAGGGTGAAGGGAGTACGGGCTCAGAGCTTTGGGGGTGTGTGGCATATATGGGTGTTTGTCAAGATTATGGCCTAATATAGTATGGCACCGAATATTTAGGGTACCCAAAAGGGAGCCATAATTTTGAAAACTATCCATATAGGGGCCACTCTAAGAGAAGGGTTCGGCGCTGAGGGCTCGAGCTACTGACTGGTCCTGCAAGCGGCATTCAGGACTTGGGAATGTGCAGGCTCGGTCTTGCTGACGTGCTCAGGGCGTCTGTTAGGAGTGTCCAGCTTCAAAGCATTTTTAGGGTATATCATACTCTAGTTATGATAATAAGCAGCCCCCCAGATTGGTAAAACAAATTATTCAGGCCCGTATATTAGCCGTAATGCTTCAGAAACTTGGGCTGGTGCTTACAGTGCGGAGTGGGGGGGCCGCTGAAATCAACTGCAGAGTGCGGAGGGTTAACATGCATGGCAAGTGGCAACCTCTACCCAGCTACTTGAAGGTTCATGGGTAGTTACAAGTGGGGTTGTAAGTAGGGTAACTGTAACTATAACCCATTTTAAAGGACTCATACCCCCACTTATAACTACCCATGAACCTCCAAGTAGTTAGCACTAAGGACTCCTCCAAAGTGTTTTGAACCGATGTTGAACAAGATCTGATGCACGCGGAGGTGCATGTCACTGCGGCTTTCTAGCACTTGACTTCAGTTCGATGTTTGCAAGTTCTGCAGCGAAGTTCCATCTTCGCACCTGAAATCTCCTGCAGTCCCTGTCCATGCACGGAGTTTTTGCAGGGAGAATGTTCGATTGCGGGGTGCCAACACCCTAAACCCAAAACTAAAGACCTGTGAAAACACGAAAACCTCCGCAGGCACAACGACAAGCCAAGGCCTCAAGCCCTCCCTCTAGAGAACCATGGGACGTAGTACCTACGGTATTACTTAACGAACGGTCACTATAGTCAGAACTAAGTACTTATAACACCAAGCTCTAAATTCGAGCTAGCTACTTATACATAACACCAACTCAGGTACTTCTGTATATATGTATATATATATATATGTATTACTTGCTTTGTCCAGCCTCCCAATTATACCCACGCACGGATGCAGCGCCCGCGCCTTCGACACAGACAGTGGCCTCGCAAGAGGAGGTGGCAGGACACCACAGCTTGGTACTTCGCTGAGGAATCGTTAAAGTGGGCGGCGGGCCCATGCAGGTTCGGTGGCGAGCCCCTTCCATAATGCCCAGAGTGAGGGGCCCATCCCTTGCTAAGGACTATGTTAGCAATCCTGCCGGGTTCAGTATTCCTAAACACCTGGAAGCTCTGTGAACCCTTGCAAACCCTCCGGATAATTAGCCAGGCTCAGAGGACCATATGAAAGATTGAATGAACGCGTGGAGAATCATGGAGAAAAACTGCACAACACCTTATACAAAGCTCTCACAATGGTGATACCTAAGACTTGGCACGGATATCCCCGAATAGCTGTCATGGCCTCTCTGTAACGATAATCAAGTTCACCCCAAAGCCCATTGTGACTGTTAATCAACGCATCATAAAAACGAGAAATTAAAGAAGCAATCACTGATATACGCCCCTTTCACCACCCTCAGCCCTCATTACACCCTCAACCCTAAACCCGAAACCCAACTTCAAGTATAAAGGCACTGTTCTTACGACCGCTCGAGCTCTGCGCCTCCGCAAGAAACTGCCGGAACTGCCGAAGCTTCGGCCACGCCCTGCCCACTGACAAGCTTCGGAGATTGGGGTTTGGGGTCGAGGGTTTAGGCTTTAGGGGTTTAGGGGTTCACGGTTCAGGGGTTTAGGGGTTTGGGGTTTAGGGGGAAGTGTACCTGAACACTGTAAACGCTGTCATGTTTAGGGTTCTTTGCTATGGTTTCAAAATATGAGTAGATGAGTCCTTTGAAAGGTAACTTATTTATAAGGTAGGCTCCATTGCTGGGGCTGCAGGAGCTTAGGATTTGATGCTGTCGGGCTTTAGGCCGTGCGTTCATATACATTCGAGGATTCTGCAAGTCAAGTACTGAATAGTAAGGCATTCTTCTGTTTCGTGCAAGAACCGCCTGAAGTGAGGCTTTTTGTTGCTGATGCTTTCCTGCGACTTATGTGGGGGGCCTTCTCTTAAGGGTCTCCTCCATGGGGGTGTAGGGTTGAGGTTTAGGGTTTGGGGGTTTACGGTTTCAGGTTAGGCGGTTTAGGGTTTAGGGTATACCTGGATGTTCTAGTGTGGGTGAAGAAGGATTTGGAGTCTATCTCAAACCCAGAAGCAACAGCAATAAGCTGAACAAAAAACCCTGAACCCTTCAAGCCCTACGCCCGTCAACCCTCTGCAAAATAATCCCTTCAGCCTGTCTGGAACCCTACGCCCTTCATGCCCAAACCCCTAAACCCTGAAATCCTGAATCCTAAACCCCTGGCCGCCGACACCAAACTGGACGTCTCAACCTCAAACCTCCCCACTCAATTATCACAGCCTAAACCCGAAACCCTCATGACACAGCCTCGGAGTGGCTGATTGCCATTCGAAGGCCTGGCCTTAGCCTTCCGAATCTCGACAAAAACGTGAGTTCGGGGATGTTTTAGGAATCAGGGTTTGAGCGTTTTGAGTTTTGGTTGAGTTTGGAGACCTCAACCCGCAGCAACCAAAATGTATGAGGACTTCGGGTACGCAGGTGCCGGCTCCAGAATCAGCTGCTCGGAAGTCGGGTGTGGGTGCCTCTTGGAAAATGGTTTGATGTAGGGTTAGCGCTGTAGGCCATGTAGGGCATCTTTACCAGGCAGCGGCCGGAGAGCTATGCTGAGATGGCGCCACGTGGGTCGCGGAACATCTTGCTTCAAGCGACTTTCCCTGTGCCTCGTGATGAACCCCCCCAAGACCTAGCAATCACCATCCCCTGTTGAGGCTGAAGACTGCCACCCTCCATTCCCACACCAAGTTCTCTGCAAGAGCTTCTTTCGAAGGCGTGAGATTGTATGGCGTCTCTCTGACACCATGGATCGATGCGAGTTGACATGAACTGACAAGCGACACCCAAAGGGCCATGGCCCAAATGAAAAACCAGCAAACCTGCACACGACCCTCAATTCCAAAACGGGACTGATAACCCCACGTATAACTACCCATGAACCTCCAAGTATGTATCCTACGGGGCAGTTTTGGTTGCAAAGGAGCAAAAGCTTCCGGTGACTACACAAACCGACTATGTAGGAATCATGAAGGAATTATATGGGGATGTTTTGCTGATTGTGCTTCCTCCCCCGGAAAAGAGGATACCTCCGCTACGAAACAACCCTTTGGCCTCAGGGCGCTGGAACGAGTTGGCCATCCTTCCGGAACAAGACGACTCTGGGGGATTAAGGCTCAATCCCAATCTCTAAATCCCATGCCTAAACCCGAGACCATAAACTCTGAAACCTCCCTGAAACCTAAAGCACTCTGTGGAGGCCTTTTTTGACTGTCCGAGTCGACAGCGGTTCTCCGTGGTTTTGAATTCTCGTGTTTGGGGTTTGGGATTTAGGATTCGGGTTTAGGGCTTAAGGTTCGTGCTGGTGTCGAGTTTGGGACGGTTCGCAGCTCTCGCACTCCTAAATCCCGCCGGCAGTTTGGGCTTCAAGAGGGTCTTGCCTTCAGGCTTGTGGTTCTTGGAAGCAGAAGATTCACTCCTGCTCTGCATTCCTATCTCGAAGCTTTTGCGTCAGAACATGAGCGCATTCCCGTAAGCATCAAGCTCTTGCTGCACGAATCCCCACAATCAACTACGCAAGTGCACGATCACCAGATTCTTAAGGAGCCCTATATAAACTGTGCAAAACCCAAAATAGAAGTTATACACCGTGCTTCATGTCGGGTTTCCGTCCCCCGAGCCCCCCAAAAAAAGCCCCAGATAGACCAGGAAGCCGCCCTAACTCCCCAAGAACTACGGTCCTGCCGTTGGACGGCGGCTGTGTCGCCACCTTGCCGTGGGGAAGGAGCCGAGCCGAGATCATGAGATGATCCTGGCCAGGCGCTTTAAAAAAAAAGGGGTTCTACCAGGCTTCTGTTTGGGCCCGAATACTTTCAGACCTCGCTCGGGTCCTCTAGACCCTAGACCCTGAACCCTAAATCCCTAATCCTCGGGCTTTCAAAGGTTTCTACTTAAAGGATCATTGGACTTATAAGGGTACTTATAACCTTACTTACTAAGTCCCATGATCCTCCAAATAGCCCAAACCTGCAACAGCCTCGTTGTTGGAAGGACCCAAAAGTTGCTTGTAGCGAAGCCAAGGGACCGGCCTTGTGCCTGCTAGTTTAGGGTTTAGGTTAGAAGCTGCCCCCACCCTGTAATAGCCACTATAAAGATTATAGTAGGGCCCTATTATATTCCTATTATACCACTATTACAGGTTGGGGGCAGCTTCGAAGGTTTAGGGTTGAGGGCTTAGGGTTTAGGGCTTAGGGTTGAGGGTTTAGGTTTAGGGTTTAGGGTATCTCAATCATGAGACGAGGGGAGGGAAGGGTGGGTCTCAATACTGCGAGTCTTTCGGGAACCCTAGGGCCATAATAACTCTAAAGCCCTAAACCCTAAACCCCTAACTCTTAAGAAGCACTTATGACCACCCGTGAACCTTCAAGTGGGTGGTTGTCAAAATTCTGGCCCCTTTTTTGATTATAATGAGGACCCAAACAGGGACCCTAGTTTTGCTAATGCTGATTCTTCAGACCTCCACTAACCGAACTGTCTCTCGATGCATCGGTCGATCGGTCTATCGATCTGATGGTCATTCCGTCCATCCATCCATCCATCCATCCATGCGTCCATGCGTCCATGCGTCCATGCGTCCATGCGTCCGTCGATCTATCCATCGAACTGTGGATGTATCTACCTATCTGTCTGTCTACCTAACTATCTCACTATCTATAAACTTTCTACCTAAACATCTGTCTATCTACCTAGCGATCTACCTACCTAGCTGGCTATCGGGCTGTCCACAGTATCTATGCCACTACGTAATTTGTCGCTGCCCTTGTATTTACATGTCTGTCCGTATGTGCGTGTACGTATGTATGTATGTATGCATACATGTACGCATGTATGCATGTACGTACATACGTATGTACGTATGTGTGTATGTACATATACCCATATACATTTTGTTTGCAAGCTTCAGAGACTGAGAGCCGTAGGACTGTAGGAGAAACAGACATCGACCCCCATGGCGTCCTTTCAGGGCTACCAACTCCTTTGTAAAGGCACTCCCACCGCAATCCTAAATCTGAAAACCAGCAATAAACCAAAGACGGTGTAGATACCGCACCCTTCCAGCTCCAGCAACGCTATCGCCCGAGCTCTCAGTTACAAATCCTAATCCTGCTCCTTGATTGTGGAACTTCTAAGGAACCAAGAGCCCGAACATGTCGGTTGATTCGACCCGATTCGGTCCCCTGCAAAACCCGAAACCCTTAAGCTTAGGCTGCAAGTTCAAAATCCCACACCCTAAACCCTAAAACCTGACATGCCGTGGCAGCCGACGGCTCATGCCCGTGCGGAAGATGATCCCTGCCTGGGGTCATTCTTTTTGGATGTAATGCTGCAGACTGCTGAGCCCACAGATCTTGACCACCTATACTCTCGGGGCCTGAATGGTTAGAATAACGTTGTGGAGTATACATAATGGAGTATCCATAGAGACCGAAGGAATTGCAACCTTCGAAGCCCTGTGCGACCCCTGAAGTACTCTTCAGCAGCTAAGGGCTTCGGGTTTGGCGTCGAGGAAGGCCTTCACACCACTGCCCACTTAGCTTACCTTTGGTTAGTAGGGAATGGAGGAGTGGGGTACAACTATAACTACTATTCCTACCATTCTTCCATTCTCTACCAACCAAAGGGAGTTAAGAAGCACAAGCCCTCTGTTGTCTGGAAAGACCCTGAAGTGCCAGAACCTCAACATCCATGATAATGCGGAAGAAGCTTCCCATGCTTAAAAGGTGATGGCTGAGTGCTCCAGTTTATCGGCAATCAGCAACGGTGTGATGCACCGTCTAGTCGAAGCGAAACTACCCTAAACCCTAAACCCTAATCGAAGCCCCGGAATGCGAAACTACCCCCACAGTCGCTCTTAAACCCCAAACCCTTGATGTCCTAACCACGGAGTCCTCGGAGGCAAGACATCTCAGCTCCACCCCAGCCTTACCTTTGGTTAGTAGGGAATGGAAGAATGGTAGTAATAGTAGTTATATGGTAGTCATATGATAGTAATCTGATAGTAATATGGTAGTAATGTAATAGTAGCTATACTTGTACCCCACTCCTCCATTCCCTACTAACCAAAGGCAAGCAGCCAAAGATCGCAAAGCAACGAAGGCTATACAGTGTACAGGGCCCCCCCACTCTGGTGAATGGTGGGGAGTCGGTCCACCTGCAGCACCTCCAAGCAGATTTGAGGTACAAGGCGTGAGGGAATTCAGGTTACCTATACTATTTTGGGGGCTCCTTATTACAATTATGGTAGTTACCTATACTATTTTTGGGGGTTCCTTATTGCAATTATGGTATAAAGGGCCCCAAAACCCTATTCCCGAAGAGGAGGGTTCCGGGCTCAGGGTGTAGGGTTTAAGGTTTAACATTCGCAGTGGTCTCAGGTGCTTGGGCTTGAACGACAGCCAAAGACATGGAGTCAGAGTGACGTTGAGTTATGACAGCAGTTGCCTGGTCCCATGAGGTAGGTGACACAAGAACGATATACTTGCCGGCTCGGAAAAAAACGGTCCATCAGGTAATAAGTATCATAATTGGGCGCACAAATAATCCCTTCCCCCTAATATTAAATGGTCGGGCCCCCCCCCTTCGCCCTAAATAAAAACTCGAGAATGTTTTTATAATTAGGGTCCCGTTGTTATCTCAACTGCCAGAAACACAGGTTCTACAAGTAATTAAATGATGAAAATGATGACGATGAAAATGATGATGACGATTACGGTGATGCTTGTTATGATGAAGATGGCGGTAGTGGTGGTGATGGTAATGATGACGATGATCATGCATTACTGGTCATTACTGCACCACTGCCAATTACTGCACTACTGCTAATTGCTGTGGCGGTGTTGTGGAAGTGTTGTGGAAGTGTTGTGGAGGTGTTGTGGAGGTGTTGTGGACGTGTTGTGGAAGTGTTGTGGAAGTGTTGTGGAGGTGTTGTGGAGGTATTGTGGAAGTGTTGTGGAAGTGTTGTGGAAGTGTTGTGGAAGTACAGACAGCCAAAGCCACCACCCCAAACCCTCAATCTATAGACCCTAAACCTTCCCCCTAATTCAAATTAGGGTTTAAAGGGCGGTGCTACTTCCGGGTGGATCGGGGGAAAAGTGTTTTTATAATTAGGGATCTCTTTAGTAAATGGGGGAAGGGATTATTTGTAAATCTATAGCTACCTGGTTACTTAATGTCATGAGTCATGACCCACTAAATCCATTCAATGCTAAATTCTCAACCCATAAACCCTGAACCCAAAGTTCAGCGGTCCTTTCGACGGAGACATGCCGCCCGCCGGCACAGAGTTTCCGATAGGAGAATGCTTTCTGCGTCTGCTGGCACTGCTGCACTTGCAGGCTGGGTGTGTTGCATCGCCGGTCGCATGAAATACCGATTCGAAACCTCGTCACTGTCCCGACTTTGAGCGATACATGATGTTTATATGCGCGCTTCCGAACGAGTCATAACTGATATCATACCTACACACACGAGACTAGCAACTCCCCAAAAAAGAACTGAACGCTCGGCAGATCCGTGTCACATTACCTGACTCACCCGTCCCAGCAATGAACACGCCTCAGGATGCTTGGACCTTGGGATGCAATCGGCGGTTTAGAGCTGACAGGGGTCAAAGACACTCAGGGTGCAGCGATTTTGTTTCGGCCCTCGCAGATATTTGGAGCTAGTTCTAAGCGGAGTTGTAAGTCGGGTAGCTATAACTGTAGCTCATAGTTTGGGGGACTTGCAAGCCCACTTAAACCACTCACTTATAGTTACTCATGAACCTCCGAGTAGGGTCGAAGCATGGGACAATAATTGAGGATCTGCTAGTCAATTGCAGAATTTTGAGCGGAGGACGCGGGATCTGCAGACGCAGAAGTGTGATCTTTGTGGTGGTGGACTGCAATCACAAATTCCTATGCTTGAGGCCACCTGATTAAATGCTTCTCAAGTGCACACAAATACACGGGAAAAGATCTCGAACACAACTCCCGACTGCTCTAGCCATCGGCCAATATGGCTCCGACAGGCTGACAGACGCGGCCAGCAGGATGGCACTCAAGGCCATAATGGCGGGAAAAACACGAAGAATAACAATATAGGGGCCTTAATAATTAGAACAGGGTTTTGGGGCCCTTTATACCATATTTGTAATAAGGAACCCCCAAAATAGTATAGGTAATTATTGAGGCCCCTATATTAGAGTGTGCCAGGATGATGGAATCAGGAGCACCGCAAATCCGGAGTCACGAACCTTCGAACCTGCAACTTAAAACCATGCCCATTAAACCTTCGAAAGGGATTAGTACAGGGTCCTCAAGTCTTAAGGTCTAGGGTTTTGCGTTGAGGGCTTCCGGCTTGGAATCGACCCTGAACCCTAAACCCCTACAGTAGAAGCCAAAAAGGAAAAAAACAAAAGGCAACAGCCTCGGTCCTGAAGAGTAATGTTAAGGGAGTCCCAGCACTATTTGGCCTTAATCCCGGTTTCAAACTTTTTGGGGATTACTCCCTAAAAACCCTGAACCAAAAATCCCTAAACCCCTAAACCCTAAGCCCCTAAACCCCTAAACCCTAAACCCCTAAACCCTGAACCCCTAAACCCGAACTCCTAAACGGCCTGGCCGGTGTTTGAGGTCAACCTGTTTCATTCAGGAACATCTTGGGCATCCGGACACGAAGATGTAGTCCAAAGTGCCGATAAATGGGTCATCATCCTCCTCGCCACTCAGACTCAGCACTTAGGGGCTTGGGGCTTGAGGTTAAGAGGGTCACTGTGCTTTCTAAACAAGTGCTGTTCTCTATGCTGCGGCCACTCGAATGCAAAACCTTGGCTGCTTGTTCATTCGCTCATGAATCTGCAAACCCTAAACCCTTATTTCAAGTCCCCATTGAAATGCTACACAGAGTTTTTTCGCGATTCGGAATCCCGTCGAAGGTCCCGCAGACACTACTTGCTGAAACCCAAACAAGCTTTGATATGAAAGCCATACCAGTTAGAAGAAAAGGGTATATAGTATGCTATACGTTGAGGTAAGGAGTCCCGTAAGAATAATTTTGTAATTCTTAGTTGCATAAGCGCCTATCTTTCCTCGTCGCAGATTTCAGATGCCTCGGCCTCGGCCTTTAAAAGCTGAAGTTCTTGCAAATCTGTTTTCAGGGGTGAGGCGCAGGAAAACCAGGGTGCCCGACCCACACCCACTCCAAACCGTGCAATTCATTTTCACTCATCTCTTCGTTCAGATTTGGTGTTAATGATGTATGATTCCTGTGCTACACCACAATCTCTTGATCTTTCGGTCGCTTCTCCAACCTTCTCCCCGGCAATATGCCTTTGGGAGGACTAGATAATTCTGTGTAACAAGGCAAGTGCCATGCGAAAACCTCCCAGCGTAGATGACTTGTGTCCATACCGTCTTACATGGCATAGGCTCCGGTTCTAGTGCAACTTTGGGTTCAAGGGCAACCCGTTAGACTGGAAAGCCTCAAATCCACAAAACCCTCAACCCCAGACCCTAAAGTAAAAGCCAGAAAGTTGGAATATGGTTATCCTAAACCCTTTATGGTAAATTATAAGGTATCCTAGCCTGAAACCATATTCCAACTTTCTGGAGTTCCCTTTAAAGTAACAAGGCTAATAAAATAGTAGGATTCGTATAAGGAGCCCTTATAAAGGCCCAAGGTTTCTTAGTCAGGTTCCTACATTAGCAAGTTCAAGAAGTCGGTCTCTCCAAGCCGAGAACAAGGCCTTTTTGATTTTTTGCCCTCTTCCGTGGCCGCATGTTGCAGCCAAAAAGGTACGGAGCCACCCTTAAAGGGTGACTTCCGCAGCAGAAGCCAGGATCTTGGATTTCAAGACACCAAGGCCTTGTAGACATGCGTCCTAGTGGGGCTTCCTTCTATGGGGTCTTGCGTCTGGTCTGCATGAAGGTTCGTACTGGGCGCTAGATCATGCAGGCTTGTAAACCTGAGGGGTTTGAGCTTGAGGTTTGGCCGGAGGCAGCTGACAGAGGCAGGCTGTGCATTCGGCCACCTTCGGGAGGGAGCTTGGGTAGGCCAACATGGGTTCAGGGATTCAAGGTTAGGGTTTAGTATAGGGTTTCGGGCCTACCAGGTCTGCTGTTCTCGGGTGGCTTTGGGGTTTGAATGGCGCAGAAGCCGCTATGCCGAGTCATGCACCGTCGCTGCGAACCTCTGTCGAAACCATGCACTCTAAGTGACCGTAGCCAGCCGCGGCACTCACGCATGCTACCAGTCAACAATCAACTGGATGAGCTTTTCCTGGCAGTGGTAAGCGCAAGACTACGTGCATCGAAACGGGTAGCACATCATCCTATCAGCTGATTGCTTTAATGAGGTACTGCTGCGATGATCTCGTTGCATGTTTGATGACATTAGCAAGACGACACAAGAACTCTTAGTTGTGAAATGGGCGTGGCAGTCGACATCGCTACTGCTTGAAAGCTGCGGTCCTCTTCTGATTACTATACTGAATTTAGAACCTTAGCAAAAACTACAATTGCAGCTGTTTCTTAGGGATTATAATAACCAAACATCAAAAAATCATTTCTAAGTACCCCTAAGATTATTGGCACCAGGCTCAGTCCCTTGTCAAGTCCAGTTGGGATCGGAGGAGCGAAGACAACACCGAAACTCTTTTGCTACGGACTGGAATCTGGGAGGTTTAGGGTTTAGGGGTTTAGGGTAAGCGATACAGTAGCTTGCTCGCAGAAGTCTCTGCAGCCGTTTCGGCTCAGTAGTAGCGGCAGCAAGGTGAGTTGTACTTCTCCTGATCGGTTTTCGAAGCTCTGAACCTGTCCTTCAATCCTACAAGGGTGTTGATTCAGATTCACTGGGTAGTTGTCAACATTATAATCCCTCATTGGGTGCCCTAATTATTACGTGCCGTATTCCATTAAGGACCCCAAAAGGGACCCTAATTTTGACAACCACCCTGTCATGGCTTCCGCCTCCACTCGCCAGACGGGGAGTTGCCCGGCACCTGGCAGCACTCTGCAGATGGGGCCAGCTTAGGGCTTCAAGAGCTTTGGGCTCCTCTTGGGGTTATTTGGGATTCTCCGCAAATCAGGGGACCCTAATATAGTACCTTAAAATAGTAGGATCCGTATTATAAGGACCCCAGAATAGGGTACCCCTAATTTTCGCAAACTCCCATTCCAAGAGTTTGGAGTTAAGGATGTTATCAAGTCGCCTAGGCGTGGAGAGGCAGCCGGAGCGGGGTTTTTCGGGGCAGTATAGGGGATGTTACATCAACACACAGGATGCCCAGCGAGTGAAGCCGGAAATGCACAAAGGTAGGGGCGTCATCAAACTACCAAGCATAGCCTGGTTTAAGCGCATCTCACTAAGAAGCGAGAATGGTCACCGCAGCATCCACACGACATGAGGACGACGAAGACAGCAGACACAGAAACCGCCGGAACAAGGTCATCACCGCCTCAAGTGCAATCCCTCAATCCGAAACAATCTTCAACTCAAAGACTCTTGCGTCCTACATCTGCCCTAAACATCCCTATACCCTACTTGTAGGTTCATGGGTAGTTAGTGGGGGATTAGAAGTCCCCTAATATGGGTTAGAATTACAGTCACCCTACTATAACTCCAAGTACCCTAATCTGTCTGGTGCTTAATAGGGAATGGGGGAACGGATCCCTGTAATAGCCCCGAAATCATCCCCAATAAACAATAGCCTCCATAATCCATTCCCCCATTCCCTACCAAGAACCAGACAGTAGTCCCTCATCCCCATCGCAAAGCTCGGAATCCCATTCTGCACTTAGCTCTACCGCTCTACCAGCCCCGTCTCCTGGACCAACAGGGAAGCTGCGCCCTCGTCGTCCAACATTCCCCACAAAGCCGAGAAGTCTGGAGTTGCAAAGCCCTGAGATTTGCATTTTTCGGTGCATGGTTCGAGGCATTCAGGGCTCGCGGCTGATGGTCGGGGGTCTTAAACCCTACTGGTAGACGGCTAGAGTTTCGGGCTTGGAGTTCATGCATGTCAGGTCTAGGGTTTGGAGGCGCGAAGAGTTTGCTTGCTCGACGATCTCGAGTTACTACTGAGCGGATCAGCAGGCTTTGTACTTATAGGGCTTTCAATAAGGCAAGTCAGGTTTTGTGCAGCGTGATGAGGCTTTAGGGGCTTGGAACCTGGGGCAATGAACAAGGTTTCGGTCATAACTAATTAGTGATATGGCTGCAATTCGGGTACTTAAGGCTTCACTTGCGGTGTCCCCTGATCCTCCATGGCTGAGGGTTTAGCGGGGCAGAGGCATTGGTATAATCCGAAGGAGCTTTGCGTTGAAGGTACATCGTCTCCATGACAGGGACTGCAAAAATACTTACTGAGAGGAACAGAAGTTTGGAGCTGCTGGGCTTTGCCCGCTTCTCAATCTGGAACCTCTAAAGCCTAAAGACAAACCCAAAGAGGACATTCACAACAGACTCATAAACCTCTACCCTAAACCCTTATATCACCCTAGGCCCTAAACCCCTAAACCCTGCACCTAAGGCACCTCTTGACTCGAAACAACCCTCAGCAGAGGTCCCGGCCAGCAACTCGACACCAAGGCAAAAGTCCTCACCACTTCACTTGACAGGGAAGGGTTTAGGTAGGGTTTGGAGTTTAGGGCTTGCGGTTTAGGCCTCGGTTTCCGGACGGGGGTGGTGGGGGGAGGAGGGCGGGGGGCGTACGGCATCCGGGGAGGTCTTGATGCGTGAGGGCCGGGGATATGGAGAGTTACGATTCGCTTCGTACTTGACACAGGAGCATTCAACGCAAAAGCCTGAATGATTAGTATCAGGCTGGAGCTCATGTTTATACTGCAGTATAACCCAAAGGCCGGCATGGGAGCACTTGTGCCCTCACACCCGAGCTGCAGCCGACCCACCCATTTCCGCCTCCGACTGGAGCATCCCACTACGGCATCTGTCCAGCACCTTGCGAAGCAGGGGGATGCCACACCGTTCAGGGTTTTTTTGTTGAAGACCTCTTTCCATCTGCAGTACAGTTGGAGAGCTTGGTTTAGTGTTTAGGGTCCAAACCGATAGGATCCCAGGGAGTGGGCTCGAATGGAAGTGTAGACACGCTAAAACAATCCCCAAATCTCCCCAGTCCATCGTGCCCTCGCCACCCATAACAAACCCGGCGCATCACAACTCAAGAAGACCCTGAGCTAGTGAAGCCTCTTATGGTTTAGGGTTTGGGCATGTTTGGGCTTCGGGCTTGTATGGTTGCTCCAAGAATTTGAGGGTTTAGCGCATTAAACGTTTAGGGGTTCGCAATCTCTCAACCCTTAACCCGAGACCCTAACCCCTTAAAGCCTGATTTTGGTTCCTGACTCAATGATCTACGGCCCGAAACTGAACCAGAGGGGTCACTACGTTTTGAGATGTCTTTCTCATGTGGGAGGGATCCTACTACTAGAGCCGTAGTTTACTTTTTTCTCACTCCCAGATTGATCTCTGAACCCTGCTGCACCTCCAGAATCATGTGCAAACGACCAGGACGGCCACCATCGAGAAAGTATGCAAGCCTGCGGCTGGGGTAAGGATTTAGGGTTTAGAGTTTAGTGTTTTAGGGCTATGGGTTTAGAGTTTCCGTACTGGCTCGACAGTTTTAGCTGCCTCAAGGAATCCCCATGTGCGAACGCATCAATATGCAGGAGCTTCAGAACATAGAGTACTCGAATCTAGACCTGAT